AAAAAACTTTTTTAGACACAAACGCTTCTATCGGCGGACTCACAGAGGGTAAAGAATACCAATTCCGTGTGAAGGCTTTCAACAAAGCCGGAGTTGGTAATCCTTCAGATGCATCCGAAAAACAGCTTGCAAAGCCGAAATTCAGTAAGTTTTCTTCCAAACATACTTTTAACTATACCATGACTTCATCTTACAGTTCCCGCATGGCTCAAGCACGATTGCCTAAAGAGTCTGACAGTGAAGGCTGGACAAACGGTCAGATGGGAAGTAAAAATCGGCGGAGAGCCGGTGCCAGAAGTCGTTTGGACCAAGGAGGACAAACCTATTGAGCCTTCACTGAATCTTAGCATTGACACAAAGAGAAATGACCATACTATCCTCTGCATCCCATCGGCAGTTAGAGCAGATCGTGGAAAATACAGGTAAGATTTTAAAAACTCATGATCTATATCCCCAAATAAAACTTTATTTAGGCTATCCGTGAAAAATTCGTATGGTCAAGACACTGAAGCAGCTGATTTAACTGTACTTGATCGACCTAGCAAACCTAACGGACCATTAGAGGTCTCAGATGTATTCGAAGACAACTGTAATCTAGCATGGAAACCACCAGGTTCGTAGTTGATGCATTATTGGTCCTTGACCTCCTTCCACATGAAAGTGCTGAATTTGAGTAAAACTCCTTTGCAGATGATGATGGTGGTGATCCGATCGAATATTACGAAGTTGAGAAACTCGACACTGACTCTGGTCGATGGGTACCTTGTGCGAAGGTAATTTTTATTATCCTCCCTCCTCCTTTTGACTCAAATTCAATATGTTTCAGGTGCACGACACCAAAGCACATGTCCAAGGCCTGAAGAAAGGTCAGACCTACCAGTTCCGCGTCAAGGCGGTCAACAAAGAAGGTGCTTCTGACCCGCTTCAGACCGACAAAGAGACTAAGGCTAAGAATCCTTACGGTGAGTGAGCTTCTTCTATCTTCTCATGTATTTTGGTGATTTCCCTTGCTATGGAATGTTTACAGATGAACCCGGCAA